ATTTATTTTTTAAGAATCTTACTCTTTTTTTTGGTACCGAGGATTGAACTTGGGACCTTGCGCTTGCGAGGCAGGCAGCGGAACCACTGAGCTAGATCCCCAGCAGCAGTGGTATTTTTATTTCCTTCCTCCAGCATGGTTCCTTGGGGTTTGTGCCAGTCACTCTCAGGTCTCGTTCCTGCACATTTCTAAGCTATGGTGTGCTGAAAATGAAACACTAATGCAGAAATGGGCTCTATTTTCTTCTATAAGGACAGTCATACAAGGAATAAATTCACTTCTGACCAAATCTTCCTAAATTGGTAAATAGTAATTCATCTGAATTCTGTCTGTTAGAAGCAATAGCACATTCCCATCTTGAGGTTATCTCCAAATGCCAGCTTGCCCAGTGAGTCCCAGATTCACTTGGAGGAGGATGTGTGGGCTTTGGTCTACCGCATGGTCGCTTTGTGATAAGTTTACTGTCTGCTCTTCCAACTATATTCTCCAAAGCTAGTGCAGGGACAGCTCCTTCTAGGTGCTGCTGTCCTAGCTTTGAACAAGGTGAGTTTGGGTGGTGTAGGCAGGGGCACAGCTGGGGGATGTGCCCCAGAATCTCTCTTGCTGGTGTTTATGCCTCAGCTTGAGCTTCTGCACTTCGGAGTACTTTCACCTTGTCGTGTTTCCCTTGGAGCTTTTCATATTAACTCTGGGGAGAAGGGCAAGAATTGACACAGGAGACTTCAAAGCACCAATATCTCACATCCCCAAAACGTCATCAACTCTTCCAGAGCATAATAAGAACATTCAGGAATGAAACCCAGGTCTCTACCTCTGAGTGCTTTCACCCTACTGATGAGATACTCTGATGTACAATCAAAGATGTGGATGTTTCCAGCACCTGAAATGTTCTTTTGTGAGGGGCAGGGGAATTATAATTGGTTTCTATTTAGGGATTTGACACAGTTTATGCTTAATACATACACAGTTGTGGTATGTATAAACAAAAACAAAGAGAGCCAGATTCTTATTTTCAACAATGTTTTACCATCTTCCTTGTGAATGACCTGGACTGGAGATTTTGCTCATCTTAAGAGGTTTCTGTCAGTTATTTAAAAATTCTAATGAAGGTCTGTGAGTAAAGTCAAAGTGGGTTTTCAGTTTAATAGCTGCAATATCTTCCTAAATGATGTGCAGATCTCTTGGAGATGGCATGATTTTATCATGATGGTAACATTTCTAATCGAGCTGCAAAACCCCATCTACTCTGGTTGTCATAATGCAAAGACATCTCATTAGTGCTTCTCTGCAGGCTTTTCTTGCAGGTACTAACTCCGAAGGCCACTAAACATTTAATATACACGCATCCTTGTCAGTAACATTGAGATCTATTCATTCAATTTATCTTTAGGATTTTAATTTTGTTAGCTAAATATTTTTTAAAAGCCAGATGCATGCTGGGTAAACTAGTAAAAATTAGTAGCAAACTTGGATTCTCTTTTCCATAAACACGAGTATTTTATTGTGTCACATGCAGTGTAATCTGATTCAGGGACATATGTTGCACTGAGCATTTGGGGGTGGGGTGGGACAGACCCATGACTTTCCACATCTGGTACCTGTTAAAGCAAACACAAAAGTCACAATCACTGTGAGTAAATAGCCATACTTACTGCCTTCTCCAATAAATTATTTGCTGTTGCATTTCAACAAGTAAAATGACTTAAAATATCATTTCAAGGCTAATATTTATTTAGCTCTATGAATTTTAACATTTAATACACACAGGCATTCAAGAAGATGGTTAAAATGAAATAAAGCAGAGATTTCCACACAGTGTTACTGAAATCCATCCTGTAGAGTTGAAAAATATGGTTCCCAGCTGTATTAGTATTAAGAAAAACAGTATGCTCATACCTTTGATGATCTCTAGTGTAATTATGTCTGACAGTGGCAAAGTGCTATATAAAACACTCACATGTGTTACATATTCTTGGAAAGTTTGTGAAGTATTGTTATTCCTATTTTTTAAATTTATGTATTTATTTTTGTAGAACTGGGGATAGAACTCAGGACCTTGCGCTTGCCAGGCAGGCACGGCACCCCTGAGCTAAATCTCTGACCCCTGTTGTGTTCCTATTTTATAGATGAAAAAAAGTTGAAGATTCAGAACCTCAGAGATATATAAGTATCAGAGCTGGGCCTTAGACCCTCTTAATCTATTTCCCAAGTTACATGTTTTCTATCTGTGTACTTGCTGATAAAAAGGTACATTTGGTGAGCTGGGGATGTAGCTCAGTGATAGAGCACTTCTTTAGCATGTGTGAGGCTCTGGGTTGGATAGATAAATAAAAAGGTAAATGTGTCCTAACATTGTTTTTAAAAAAGGTATAGTGCATGGCATATGGCAGCTATTCCTATTTATTTCTTAAACTGAGGTCTATCGACTGTCAGAAAGCTGATATAATACGGTCCCAACTTAACCCCAAATTCTGTCATTTTACCTCTTCAGTTGTCCTCTTACAAAATCAGAATTTCAATGAATACAGAGTAGTCAGGGATAAGCAGCATTCCTTTTGACGGTAATAGTTTAAATGTATGTGATTCTAAGTAAAAAAAAATAGTATTTTCTAATTTTTGTCTTTGGAGAAAAGTATGAAATTAATAATGTTAAGCAAGGCCTGGAGGACAGTTGAAGTTAAAGGTTGATGGGTGGCTAGGGATTTAGCTCAGTGGTTCTGCTGCCTGCCCCGCAAGTGGAGGGACCCGAGTTCGATCCCTGGTACCAAAAAAAAAAAAAAAAAATTTGCTGGGTATTACAAATAGGGCCAGAGTGATTCCTGTCCACTAGGAACTCCATTTCTCATTTTTAGATCATTCTCCTTATTCCTCCTCCCACTCTAGTCCTCTGTATCCCATAATATAGAAAGACTATTCTCCATTACCTGATTTCCGTAGTTTTTTTTTATGAAATGTTTATGACAAGTATTCAACATGTTGCAAGATGAATGAAGATGTCTTTCCTTGGGTGAAATGCAAACATCATTATGTTCCCACTTTGGTGGGAGTTGAGAATGAGATGCTGGCCATAGACGAGAGGGTGTGATGTGCTCAGGGAAGTTTGTCCAAAAGGGAAGGATTTACAGACTAGTGAGGAGGCGGATCGGGAAATGAAAGCAACCGCAGAAAAGAGCTACCCACTGCCCCAGGGAGTGGGGGGAGTGACGCCTCATTACGCAGTGGCATTGTACTGGAGCCCCCTTCCACACAGCCACCACCCCATCCCTACGCTCAGCATCATGGAAGGGATGGATGTTAGGTCTGTAGGTCTGACTGAGGCTATCAGCAAGGATGAGTCAGGACAGAATAGCTCTGAGGTAGGAAATAATCTGAAACAGGGAACAAAGTATTTCTTTGTTTATACTAAATGGTAAATAAAGCAAATAAGTAAACTTGGTGGGATTCACAATAATGTCTTCATTTCTACATTATTTTTGTAATTCTGGGGGCAGCATGGCTTCCCACAGATAGTATCCGTTTACTAGCATTGAAAAGCAGAATTTGAGATGAATAATTTAACCTGACCAAAAAAGAGATCAATATGAACAAAATCCATGTTCTAAAACTTTCCCTATGACCCACTGCTCAAGTGATAGATCAAAGCTTTAAAGAGAATCATGAAGCTCAGAAAACACTGCACCTACAAAAACTGCATTGTCCTCTCTGTACGCATTTGTCTCTTTCTCCACTGGACTTGCACCTATTCTACTCTCTTCTTGCTTGGCTGATTAAATCAAACATGTGCCTACAGTAAGTGTGTTCAGAACTGCTGGAAGATCGAGCATGAAGCAAATAGGAGGAGAAGTCTGATGTTCTTTAAATACATTCATCTAAGTCCCTGAAGCTCACCCTGGTTGGCTTTAGGTCCCCAGCTCAGTGAGTCTCGTCCCGAGCGGCTCTTGGCATCCAGTACCTGGACAAAACTGCCCACACTCCTCCTTGGGGTAGCATCTTGTCCAGCGCTCAAAATGACCTGCGTACCGCATCTTGAAAAGCGCTTCAAAGTTAGAATACCTAGATTGAAATTCTCACTTTGCATCTGCCCAGTTGTTCAGCATGCTGAAACTTTCGGGATCAGGAGAGATGAGCTTGGTGGTGGCCACTGAGCAGAGCCTGGAGCCTGGTAGGAGTTTAGAAATTACCAGAATTGCTCCACGTGTTACTTCCAAATGCACTCTGTGCAGCACACAGTCCCCAAGAAGGGCTCTAATGAATGTTTCTCAAGTCCGGAAGAGAAAGTGGCTCTTCAGGGATCCTACACCCTGTCCTGCTCTCTCTTCTCCATCTTTGATTGTCTTTTTTTGGTACCGGGGATCGAACTCGGGACCTTGCATTTGCGAGGCAGGCGGCGGAACCACTGAGTTAAATCCCCGGCCCTCTTCATATTTGAGATTCCAGACTCAAAAAATTCTCTCAACTCATCCACAAGTCGAAGACTGAAACTTTTCTCTTTCCTCCAGCAAGGCAGGAATGCTTAGAAAGTAGCATGATCAGGAAAGTGGATGAATACTCATTTGATCTTTCAGAACATAAGATTTTACACAAACCACATAGAACTCAATTACTGATATATTTATGTTTTATTCCAAATATGATTTATTTTGGAAGCCAAAGAACCACTTTTAAATTCAGGGGATGGTAAATTT